CATGTGTTCACCCTGGAGCAAAGGTGAGATGGACTTATTCCCACATGCACAACATGGCCTGAGGATGGGGAAAGGGCAGTCGGGATGCCATGGCCCAAAGTCAGAAACCTATATGCTGGGCAGGCAGACAACAGCTATCTACTTCATTCCTTAAAAGCATCGAAAGGCAAGGTGGTAAAGTGGACAGGACCTTGGACTTTGTGTTGAAAGGACTAGGTTCTAATCCTTGTCTTGGAAACTATGGGACATTGGGAAAATCACTTAACTAGTCCTCTAAAAGTTTGTTTCCTTTTTTTTTATAAAATGGAGAAAATTATTATCCTACTTCCCCTACAGATTCATTGAGAGGGGGAGAAAAGTTAATGTATAAGAATATTGTTTGGAAACTCTAAGTTTTTTACACCTGGAAGGTATTATTATTTATTGTATCCTCCCAGATAGCACCTAGGTCATTGCTCTCCCACGTTGAAGGTGCTCAATGGGTGCTTATTAATTGGCTGGTCCATGATATGGAAGCTTATATTATTCTGAGTACTTTTGCAAAATCTTATACAAGCAAAATGTTTTGGCAAAATGTTCATTCGACATTAAAATTCAAATATTCCAGGAACCTGTGAAGCAAGCTGTCTTTTGACCTCATTATCCAGTCTCAATTTAAATACTGCTTCCTTGGGGAAAATTTCATGGGACCATCCCCCAACCCTTAATCAGGGCAAGCCTCCAACCTGCCTCACAACACTTAACACTGTCTTCCAACAATTGTGAAATTCTGTTTCATGTCTCTCTTTCTGGACCGACTGGGGACTCCACTGGCTGGGCACCCTGGCTGTCTTGTTTGCTGTTGTATCACCTTGGACATGGTACATCGTAGGAAATCAAGAAATACCCAATGAATGAGTAAATTTGTAGGATTCAATGGAACAAAGTCGAGTGGACTAGGAAACATACATCTAATTGTCCCTTTCTGTTCTCCTAATGTCTTTCTCCAAGCCCTCCACCGACCACATCCTCATGACTTCTACAACCTGTGCTAAGTAGAGAAAGAATGGGCAGTTGATTGAATGAATGTGCCCGTCTAATCAATGGTTATTTGGAAATACAGTCCATTCACTCTGACCTATGTAAGCAATGTCTCAAAAATGCAGAGCAAATATAGTAATTTCAAGACTCTGTAATCGTAAATTTATTCTAGAATTATAGTTCTCAATGTCATGCCCTTTCATATCCTGGTATGCCCTAATACTCCTATCTGACTTGAAACCATGACAGAACTAGGCAGTCATTCCCGGAAGCATATATATTACTCCCAAGCCAGAAATCAGATTAAAGTGGTTCAGAGGGGAAAGGAGATGTTAGAGACAAATCATTCTCTCTTCTTCCCCACCTCCACCCTGAATTTCATTTATATAATGCGGCTCTTAGCACAAATGAAATGAGTCAGCGTCAGGGAAGACAAACTGAAATATGACTTCCATATCAAGGGCAGTTATTTTTTTTTCTGTCAGCCTGCAGTGGACAAGTGATTTTCTAAGTAATAGAGATTAAAAAAAAAAAATAGAGGCCAGTATCCAGTTAGATCATAAATACCTGTTGTGTGCAGAATTTTTCTTTATTTTTAATTGTGGTAAAATATAACATTTACCACCTTAACCAGTTTCAAGTGTACAAGTCAGCAATATGAGTGCAATTAATCGTGCAGTATTTACCTTTTTGTGATTGGCTTATTTCACTTAGCATAACGTCCTCAAGGTTCATTCATGTTCATTCATGTTCATTCATGGAGCATGTGTCAGAGTTTGTTTCCTTTTTAAGGATGAATAATATGCCATTGTACGTATGTATATACTACATTTTGTTTATCTATTCACCCACTGATGGACACTCAGGTTGCTTCCTCATTTTAGCTATCGTGATTATTGCTGCTATGCACAGGGGTATACACATATCTCTTTAAGACACTGTTTTTGATTCTTTTGGGTAAATACCCACAAGTAGAATTGCAGGATTATATCATAATTCTATTTTTAATTTTTTGAATAACTGCTATCCTGTTTTCCATAGCAGCTACATCATTTTACATTCCCTTCGTACCAAATTTTACAGATTGAGTTTCAAAGAAACTTAGGGCTTACTTTTCCTGCTCGGTGGCATGCTTCCCAGGGATTCTTGTGGCGCTTTCTCTGTAGGTCCTCTGTGACACCTGCTGCTTTTCCACTTGCAGTGTAGTCGTCTTATCTTCCCCATTTGCCAGCACCCTGAGAATAGGAAGGATCTAGATTGAATTCATCTCTAAAGACAGGGACCTGGGTGAGTCTTCTAGCTCTCCTGGTTGCCTGTACATAGTATCTCAGCAAGTTATTACATCTCTTGTAGGTTTCTGATAAATATGGAGAACAACACCTCTCAATAAGGTCACTAAGAAAATGAATCTAGATAATGTATTAATATCTTGAATGCTTAGCACAGCAGCATGGTACATGCTGTTAACAATTATTTTATGAAGCAGGATAGCATAGTGGCGAAAGTGTGGGCTTTTAACCTCTATAAGCTTCTGTTTGTTTCCTCATTTGTAAAATGGGTTGTCCTGAAGCTAAAAGGAGGTGACCTATGAAAGGTTCATGCAGTGTCACATAGCAATTTGCAAGGACTCAATAAATGGCAGTTACCTTTATTTTAACCAGTTTATTGATCCATCTTAATTCAGTATTGATCCATTATGTTTTTCCTAACAGCACATTCAAATGTGCCCTGTCAAATCACTCTGGTTCATCCCTTACATTTTGAGCAGATCCCATAATCTTCCAGCCACTTTGATACTCTAAAGCTCAGTTTCTGCGGTCCAATTCTGTGAGCTCAATCCTATGTAAATTCCACTTCTTCTTCCCTTTTCCCCAACCCTGCCCCAGCACAGGCCAGGCCTATTACTGAAGGGGCTCAGAGGGGGACCCCTCGGTCTGCTCTTTCATGATCACACAGCCTGGGAGGGAGGTGGGAGGTGTGGTCTTGTTCTGAGATCCTCTGCACCACCGCCCTCTTGCCAAGGCTTAATCGCTGTTGAGGGTTGGGCTGGAGTATAGGGGAGTCAGAGGCCTCCTCCTGTGAGCAGCCTTTGGCTTGGTGCTGGGAAGTGCTCCTTCTTCCTGCTTTGGTGTGGTGTGTGCTTGTCCTGAGCCATTTTTAGCACCACCCTGACTTCATTTCAGGGTTCCCTTGGGAGAGTGCTTGAGCATTCTGTTCTTACACCTTTCCAGGAGGGGTGACGCAGCTTGCCCAGGGACCTTATATGCAACTCCCAGCTCCTGCCTCCCCTCTTACCTCTGAGCCCTTCTGATGGAGCCCATGGTGACCTTTCCCGGCCTAAAGTCTGAGAGAGACTCGGTATCCCCCCACCCTTTCCTGAGCCATACCACATCACGGTTCCTCATCTCTTGGCAGTCTGGCTCCAGAAACCTCCAAGCCGGTGGAGTCCCCATCTCAACATTCACATACTTTCCAAACTTGGGTGGGACAATATCTCAGGATTTAGGGTCTCCCAGTAACTCTCTAGTTACCTTTCTACAGTGGAAGCTCCAAGAAAACTCTGAAGTCCCAGCTTCCCAGAGTCTCTGAAAGGGAGGGAGCACTCCTCCCTCCCCACTGCCCTAGAAGTTCTGCCCCCCCTCACCCCACTCCCTACTACTTGACTTGCACGGGGGGGCTCGCACAGGCAGGTGGTAGTGAAGGAACGTGGACGAGGGAAAGGGGTAACATTCTCACCTAGGAATTCTCCAGCTGGTCTTACTGTTCCCTGCTGCCCTCTCTTTGTGTTCTCCCTTATAGACTACTTGGGGGGAAGTGCAGAGGGAAAGAGGGCGGCTGTGGAGAGTCAGGATGATGTTCAGCAGCAGGATGATGGTAACAGGGCCCTAATTACACTGTCCTTATAACCATGTTTGGCTTCTTCTGCAGAAACTCCAGTCGCCAGCCTCACAGCAACCTCAAACTCCTGGACTCAGTCACCTGCTGCTCACCTGCCCGAGTGAGACTGACTACAGGCATGTCCACCATGCTGAGCTAATTTTCTATATAGTTTCCTAGTTGGCCATTAATTCATCTTTTTTGAGTTAGACAGGGGTCTCACTCTTGCTCAGGCTGTTCTTGAATCCTGAGCTAATGATCCCCCACCCAGCCTCCCAGAGGTGCCTAGATTACAGCGTGTGAGCCACCATGACCAGCCATATATTTTATTTTCAATAAAAGATTTAAAAAGAGAAGAGTTTTGACAAAATACATAATATTAATTAAAAAGTTAGCAGGATATGAGAAAATTATAATGGCTGGTATGAATAAACTATGTTTGGTAATAGAGGATGGCCATGCAGCTCCATTGATGCTGGATTCAGTGAGGTGCTAAATGATTAGCATAGTAAGGGACTTATCTGTGGGAGCTGGAACACAAACAGAGAGAAGCGGAGGTGGTACTCAGCGAGTGCTAGGGAGATACTCTGCAGTTCAAATGCCTGGATAGAATCTTGCTCTGTAACCTTGCTGGCACAAGTCACTCAACCCTCACTCCACTCAACTACACGTCTGTAAAATGGGAATAATAAGGACACCTATTGCATGCCTCTTCAATCTCATGCTTCTGGAATGGAAGACAAGCTGGCCCTTCCTTGGCTTGTAGATGCATCACTCCAACTCTCTTTTTTCTTCACAGGCATTCCCCTCTGGTGTTGCTCTGTTTTCTTATAAGGGAATTTATATTGGCATTACACTTCCCCTATGACCCATCTTCATTTGTTACATAACCAAGGACAAAGCCTACTTCAAATGAGTTACCATCCACATTAGTACCATGGTTAGGACTTCAACTTTTATTGGAACATATTTCACCCATACAATTAAAAAGTAAAACAATAATATATAACTGTATACCATAAACCCACACCCAATTCAATTCATTGTAACATTTTGCCAGTTGCTTTTCCATCAGATTTTTTTTTTTGCGTACAGCTCATCCCTAAATACTTCTTCATGCATCTCCTCAAATTAAAGTGATTCTTCTACATAACCACATGACCATTATCATACCTGTAAAATTAACAATTCCCTATCAACCAACAAACAATTGCAGTAGATTGTATTATGGTTCAAAATTATTCATTTTCCCCTTTCCTGGAGGTGGATAGTAGCCTGCCCTATAACCTTTGCACTTGGCCATATAGCTTCAGCAAACATAGTGTGAGCAGCAGGAGGCATGCTACACAGTGCAAACGCTTTTCAGTCATTTCCTGGGGTTTGGAATAAGAAGACACAAGGATCAAAACAACTACCTGGAATATAACCATAGTCAGCCAGCAATACCAGTGACTTGAGCAAGAAATAAACTTTTGTTTTATAAACCACTAAAACTTAGGATTATTTGTAATTGCTGATTTCCCCAGTGAATTTAGAGCTGTTTTTAATGGTTTTTAGACCAGTTTCCAGTCAAGATTTTTGAATTGTATTTGGTTGTTATGTCTCTTAAATCTCTTATTCTACAACAGTCCCCCACCAATCTTTTCCTAGATATTCTTTCCTCCCTCCCTTCCTTGTCCTCCTTTTTTTTTTCTTCTTGATAAAATTTACTTTTTGAAGAAGCCAAGTCATTCATCTTATATAATATCCCATATTCTGAATTTGTCTGATCATTTTCTTTTGGTGTGTTTTAACATTCCCTCCAAGCTAGTACTTTTCAGTCTTGACTGCACATAGATATCACCTTGGGAGCTGGAAAACACACTAATGCTCAGATCCCCCCTGCCGAAGTTCTGATTTAGTAGCTTGGGTTCAGCCTGGGCATTGGGAATTTTAAAATATTCTGAGTTTATTTTAATGTGTGGGGAAAGTTGTAACTCATTGATTTAATAGATCAGTTTTAACCCATGATGTTGTGTTTGTCATGCTGCATCACATCAGGAGTTCCTATAGATTTAGGTCATATCACTATTAGTTGTACTGAATTTGATGACTAGCTTAAGGTAGAGACAGAGCTCTCCTTTGTAACTGTATGTTTTTCTCTTTGTAATTAGCAAATAATTTGTGGGACAATCTCATAACATTTTGGGAATACCCTTTTTCCCATAAATCTAATAAGTACTGGTTTTAGCATCCATTAGTGACCCTTGCTTGAATCAATACTTTCAGAGATGTTTACAAAAAGCTGACTTTCTAAGTCTATCATTCTGCATTTAAAACTAGTCAGCATTCTTTTATAAAGAGCTTTCCCTCATGAAATGGGGATGGACTATAGTTCCACATAAAAAGGCAAGGTAAATGCCTAATTCTTTCCCTTGAATAACCAATTTTCAGAATAGGAAGTTAGTGTAACAACTATCTCCAACGGTAGCAAAAGAGCTTAGAAATCGTGAATTCATATTAAGTAATTTTTAAAAATTCTAATGAACCCTAATGAATATAGCGTTCCAAAACGAGGTAGGATTTGATTGTCTCCTGGTCAATCAAGGGAGGAGGCTGTGGAAGTTAAAGGTGAGGAATGATAACTTACAGAAAGCTGACGTCAAAGCAACCGGAAGAAAGGAAGGATGGAGGATGTCATGGGTTTATGTCCTGGCTCTGCCACATATGTGACCTTATATAAATTACTTTTCTTTTTTGAGTCTCAGATTTCCCTTGTCAAGTGGAGATACCAATTCCTCCCATGCTTCCCTCTGAAGTTATTGTGAGCATCAAAGAAGATGATGACTACCATTTGTGGTACTATTATGGAGATATATACACGTACAGGTGTAGATATGTGAATCTTGAGTGGATATACAAGAAACTGGTAACAATAATTGTCTAAGGCACATGAAGTTAGGAGTTAGTGAGAGATTTTTCACCACATATCTTTTTATATTGTTTGAATATTTTTCTTGAGGATGAAAAAACAATGTAAGTAAGTAATGAATTTGAAAGAGCTTTATAAATCACAAAGCAGCACACCAATATTAGGGGTTTGTTGTTAATATTAGCCACCAGCAACAAGAAATCAAAACTGGGTCTTTGATTATTTAATAGTGTAAAAGTTGAGTAAGTTCATTTATTATGCCCATCGTTGGAATATTGAGTCCATTTTTATTTTAAAAAACACACTTTGGAATAATCAATGACATTGGAAAATACTCAAGCTGAGTGGAAAAAATATAACAATTGTATAAGTGAATGATCCCAATTTTGTGTGTTCCCTGTGTAAAAACACACATGCACGAAGAGAGAAGAGATGGGAAGGAACCATCCACAATGCTTTGATGGGAATATAAAGCGTCACTTTTATTAGTCACTTTAGTGGCACATTAGTGGCACATTAGTGTCACTTTATTTAGTGACAAATTAGTGTCACTTTATTAGCATATAAAATGTCACTTTTCTTAATTACATTTTCGGTATATTCCACATTTTCTACAATGAATTAATAAATGCTACTTGGAAAGAAAAAGTTACAGTTACACTTTCTAACTTCGTCAGAAAGAATTTTTTAAAACTTCGTTGAGAGTGATTTGTAGCAGGACGGGAGGAGAAAGAAGAGCAAGCGTGGGAAGAGCACGGGAAAGAACGGAAACCGGCCGTCGTCCCCGCGTGGAATAAGAGCTCCAAGGAGAGGCGAGAGGGAATGCAGACCTCCGTACGGCTAGAGCGGCCACGATGGAAAGAGAAACTTCCGGGGCGGGGCTCCCCGTCCCTTCCTTTCCGCGGGGTTGGGGGGGGAATGTGGGCTGCTTGCAACATTAAGGTTCGCGATTGCTTGGTTGCAGCTTCCGTCGTTCTGAGACGGTGTCTAAGGGTGGAGGCGACCATGGCAAAAAGCAAATTCGAGTATGTCAGGGAATTCGAGGCTGACGACACCTGCCTGCCCCACTGCTGGGTGGTAGTGCGACTGGACGGCAGGAATTTCCATCGGTGAGCAAGGTTGGCTCGGGGCCGCGTGGTGCGCCCGCACTTCCGGGGACTCCCGGGCCTACTGTCGCAATTCTCCACCCCGCTCACGGTTACCGGGGCAACGCGGCAGCCAATGAGTGCGCGGCACTGAGCGTCACCGTATTCTGTCGGCTATCACTGTGCTTGAACGCGAGCTGGTCAGAGTAGTTAATTTGGGGGTGGGGTGGGGTGAGGAAGGGATGCTTCTCTGGTGAGGAGCGGGCCTGTAGTGCTCGTATTAAGTGAGCAGAGACCTGTTAGCAAGGATCCGGTGGAAAAAAGTCACTCCCCGGTGCTGTACTTAAGCTCTAGTTGGTTGCCCGGCTATGTCCAGCTATTCTGCTAGCCATCTTTTCACGCTTACTGCTCAGAGGTCTGTGTAAATCTTGCTATGGGCAACACTTTACAGTATTGTCCATTTTTCATTATCAGTCACAGACCACATGGACTGGATTCAAGAAAGAGTCGGAAAAAAGGGAGAAAGAAATGTAACAGAAAAAAGGAATTACTCTGAAACTATGTATATTCATCAGTTTTTTAAAAGATAGGAATTTAATTTTTGAAAAGAGCTGCATTTTTAGTAAGGATTATTGTAACGTTTATTGAGCACTTACTAGGAGCCAGGCATAATTACATTTGTTTTCTTCTCCCTAACTTCCAGGACAACCTGATGAGGTAAATACTCTTTATCCTCATTTCACAGAAAGGGGAATTAAGGCTTAGCAATTATGTCCCTTCTCAGTTGGTCAGGGCAAGAACTGGAGTTCTTAAGAAAATGAATTAGGTTGCAGCTAGTGGAGTGTTTGGGTTCACAGTGCTGGTACAGTAACTTTATCTTTGAACAGTCTCTGTGATCTGTACTGTTAATGACAAACTGTCTTCCATCCATTCCCTACTCCCTCTTCTCCTTCTCCTATGAAGGTTTGCTGATAAGCACAGCTTTGCAAAACCTAATGACAGCCGTGCTCTCCACCTGATGACCAAATGTGCCCAGACCGTAATGGAAGAACTGGAGGATATTGTGATTGCATATGGACAGAGTGATGAATACAGCTTTGTGTTCAAGCGGAAAAGCAATTGGTTTAAAAGAAGAGCCAGGTAATTCCACGACCTAGTTCCATTCTTCAGAATATTTCCTACCAGCCTCTGCTTTTCTGTTTATCTTAATAGCAGACTTAAAGACCAAATATGATGTCTGCAGTGTTAGCAGAGTGCATGTGTATTTCCTGATTAGACTGTTGTACTTCCACCTGATATCTGAGCATTACATATGCATCTTTATCAGATTCTTTCGCCTTCATACCCATACCCCATCAACTAAGTTTCTAGACTGACTTAGCATTGAACATTAAAACAAGAAACAGAGACCATAAGAATGTAATATTAATGATTCATAGGTTGGCTTTAGCCAGTGACAGTCTCTACATGCATCGCAATATTATTTAAACTTTTAATTAAGGAGTATGTTAGTATAAAATAGACAAATCTGATACTTGCTTTGGCAGTATTTTAAAACTGTTTACAGGAAACAAAATCATATAATGAATTGGTATGTTTTTAAGTCTTCTTCCAAGACTAAAAACAAAACTCTTGAACCATAAATTCATATCACATCCTACAGAGAAAAATTTGGTATTGGTAAATTACTTAATAGGACTGGAAGGCGAGGCAGGCTGCATTCAAAATACATAACTGAAATATTGAAAAGTTTTTCTTAGCCAAATGCATTTTATCTCTTCTTTTGCTGAACAGTTTGTGTAATCTCTCTGTTGCACCCACAGGCCCTATCTTGGTGTTCAATTAATATGGTGTGTTTTCTCTTTTCTTGCTCCACCCAATGTGCCTTACATTTGCAAGTAAGTTCATGACTCACGTGGCCTCCCAGTTCGCCTCCAGCTATGTGTTTTATTGGCGGGATTACTTTAAGGACCAGCCTCTTCTGTATCCCCCAGGCTTTGATGGAAGAGTTGTGGTGTATCCCAGCAATCAGACCTTAAGGGACTACCTCAGCTGGCGGCAAGCAGATTGTAAGTGGCACCAAATAAACAGATGTGCTAATACTGGATCTACGTTTCTACTTAGTATTAGACAGGGCCTGTGCAGAGGCAGCTGTCTTTACACACAAAGATATACACTTGCACAAGCCAGTGTGCCAGTCTCTGCCATTCCCTGTTGCTCCCTGGGGTCCCCCACTGCTTTATACATTGATGTTCATGCCAGGCTCAGTGGGTGTTTGAGTTGTGACCATACCATATTGGTAGTTAAACCACCAATTCCATGCATTGAAGATGTTGATCTGATACAAGTTTGGCTCACATGTGTTTTTTGTTGTTTTTTTTTTTTTGAGACAGAGTCTCACTCTGTTGCCCAGGCTAGAGTGAGTGCCCTGGCGTCCGCCTAGCTCATAGCAACCTCAAACTCTTGGGCTCAAGCAATTCTACTGCCTCAGCCTCCCGAGTAGCTGGGACTGCAGGCATGCGCCACCATGCCCGGCTAATTTTTTCTATATATATTAGTTGGCCAATTAATTTCTTTCTATTTATAGTAGAGACGAGGTCTGGCTCTTGCTCAGTTTGTTTTCGAACTTCTGACCTCGAGCAATCCACCCGCCTCGGCCTCCCAGAGGGCTAGGATCACAGGTGTGAGCCACCGTGCCCGGCCTCACATGTATTTTGTATGGAATGCAGTATTTAAATTTTTTTTTTTGGATTAGTTAAAAATATTTAAAAATTGGGAGATTTCATGTAAAAACTCCCTATCTCTGGGTTTTTTGGAAAAATCAGAAAATGTGCTAATACTGGATCTACATTTCTACTTAGTATTGGACAGGGCCTGTGCAGAGGCAGCTGTCTTTACACACAAAGATACACACTTGCACAAGCCAGTGTGCCAGTCTCTGCCATTCCCTGTTGCTCCCTGGGGTCCCCCACTGCTTTATACATTGATGTTCATGCCAGGCTCAGTGGGTGTTTGAGTTGTGACCACCACCATATGTTACTGTGATGATGTTTGTGAGGCTTTTACTCGTTTGGCATATTTTGATTTTGCCAGAGGAACTGGAAGAGAGACTGGAATAATATAAATAAAATAAAATAACTTTGAAAGTATTCCTAAGATCAGTGTACAGGTTAACAGATTTATGTAAAGCATAACTGAAATGATCAAATAAAGCTGTTGTTAGGACGTAAGTTTTTTCTGCCTACCCCTTTCTCTGTGTTCCCTGTGTAAGACTTTGGGCAAGTCACCAAATGTTTCTAAGATCTCTTTAAGAGGAGAGGGGCAGGGCTCTAAGTGTGAATATTGAATAAAGGTTTTATATTTATATATATATGTATATATAATACACACATGTATTATATATACATATAAATATTGTTATTTTGTTCTTCTCACAGGTCACATCAATAATCTTTATAATACAGTTTTCTGGACACTCATACAACAGTCTGGGCTAACACCAGTACAAGCCCAAGAGAGATTACAGGTATAACGATCTTACTACATTAATTCTTAGCTAGGGACAGTTTGCTCTAGGTTCTCCCATAACATTTTTTTAATGTTCCCTTTACATTCTTTTTTAGCTCCCTTTACAGCTTTTTTTTTTAAAAAAGATATAAAAAATCATAATAGTAGCAGCTCTGCTCTTGCCTGCTCTGTAAACCTGGATGAGTTACTACTTCTCCCTGAGCCGTTGTGTCCTCAGTTGGAAAATGGAAGTAATGACAGTGGCTCCACATTCCCACATGCGGACGCGGGCCTGGAGCTGTGTGTTGGCCGCCTCGTGTAGGAAGGGCACGTGCTCTTGTTTGTCAGTCCTACCAGCCTGTTTCCTCATTGTCACTCCCTACTGGACGCCTATAGTTTCTTGGGTTTGTTGACCCCTGTGTGTGGTAAGAGTCCATACTCTGCAGGGCAAATAACCTTACTCATATCATGTTTCTGTTTAATTTTATCCACTCTGCCTCAGTTCTTTATAGGTAAAATGTAGAAAACAGTAGTCCCTACCTCATAGGTTTATGGTGAGAATTCAATGTCATGATACATGTAAAACACCTAGAATAATATGAAGTACATTGTAAGTGCTTAATAAATACTGGTTTTATTAGATAACAGTAATAAACACGTGTAACATGTAGAATGACTAACTCTGAAATGAGGTAATGTGTTGTAACCATTCCTAATATTAATACAATGCCTGATACATTCTAATTACTAAGTAAATGGTTGCCATTTTTTATAATAATAATGATGAAGATTTATATATAGCAATAATAGGAATACCAGTGGGTATATCCAGGTTTGGGAGAGCCAAGTTCAGATTTTGATTCTTAGGAGAATAAGGACAACCTTCAACCTTGAGCAGTTTGTATAATCTTTTTAAGCTTCAGCTTTCTCATCTCTAAAATGGAGATAGTTGTGATAATCCCATAAGAAACATAAAGTACCTTGTACATGATAGGTATTCAGTTACTATTAGTTCCTCCCACTCCTTCACAATCTTGCCTAGTGAAGCCAGTGTTTGCTACAGAAGAGGATTTTATGAATGTAGACATCTAAAGATTTGAATTGCTCTTAAAATGAAAATTCATTAGTGCTTCTAAGATGTTTGATAAAATCATCCCATTTCTCGATTTGTTTGTGAAAGTTTAGATAGCAGATCAAATGGATGGTAATGCCAGGGGAGAAAGAAGACACTCAAAGCTTTTTATGTTTCTCTTTTTATTTCCTCAGGGAACTCTTGCAGCAGAAAAGAATGAGATTTTGTTTTCTGAATTCAACATCAACTACAATAATGAGCCGCCCATGTATAGAAAAGGGACTGTGTTAATATGGCAGAAGGTAAGGTTGTTACGCTCAAATCAAAATGGAAGTCAGGAAAAAAGAGGGCCTGTGCCCATCCCAAGCATTGTCCTGCCTGCGACCTGTATGCTAAAGTGACTTTAGTTGCTAACACAAACTAGCGCCTTTCCAAAAGGAGATGCTGTAGATAGATTCTTATTTTGGGTGCTCATTTTGTCGGTCCGTAGTGGTCTGGAATTTCCTATATGTAAGTAGAATTACAGAATATATCATTTTTCTGTGTCATAAGCTCTCCCTGTATCAAATAAAACCCTTTCAGAAGGGTATATATAGTACAAATAGGAGGAGTTTTTGCATTCACAGAACATTTAAAAAATACTTCCCCCCATGCTGGGTAATACCATTAAGTGGTCCATCCATTGCATGACAACTATAAAATGAGGCACTAGGAGATGCTGTATATGATATCTGTAAATTACTTTCAGAAATTTCATGAGATTCCCCAGACATTCATACTTAGCCTTAATATTCTATAAGTCTATACATTTACCTAAATGTTTAATTCTACCAATATTTTCTCTCTGTTCCAGCTCTTAAGCATAATAATTTCTCTAAATTTATTTCCTTCAATGTAAAGTAGCTTTTTTCTGAAATGAAGGTTTTCAAGTACTAAAGCCTACCTTTGAGAGCTAGTCATTCCACTGGCAATTTCACCTTCCTTATTAGTATTTTCAAAACACACTTGTTCTTTGGCACAAACTTAGATACTAGCTAATGCAAGTGGGAGAAGAGAAATACCTTTAATTCTATAGTTATTGCGAATGAGGAACGGAATGTCAAATCTCTTTGTTCCTAAGATTTCTTTTCAGAATATAGTAATGTAACCTTTTTTTAAAGTATTTTTAATTATAAAGAACTTCATGCACATATATGTATATACTTTAAAAAATCTGGCAGTCACAGGTATATAAAGTAAAAAAGTGAACTTCCCCCACATCTTCCTCTTTTCTCCCAATCCTACTCTTGAGTTAACAATTATCACTACTTTCCTTTTACCTGTAGGTGGATGAAGTCATGACAAAAGAAGTTAAGCTGCCAGCAGAGATGGAAGGAAAAAAGATGGCAGTGACCCGGACCAGGACTAAGCCAGTGCCCTTGCATTGTGATATCATTGGGGATGCTTTCTGGAAGGAACATCTGGAGATCCTAGATGAAGAAAGCTGACCCTTTGCTCTTTAGTTCTGGTGTGCTTAACCATCCAAGCCCACCTCCACCAAGTCTCCTTGCCTTCAGTGGCCCTAACATCCCTACTGCCCAGAACACTGTGCCAGGAATGGCATGGAGTTGGGAGGGGAACAGGGAAAGAGGGGTTGGATGGGGGCGGTGTATCTTGTTCTGCTTAAGCAGAACACCTTTTTTTTTTTTTTTTTTTTAAACAGTGTTGGAACATGGTTCCTTTGGTAGAAGTACATTTTTTAAAAAATCGTGGTACTATTTTTATAAAGCAAGAGCTGTTTCATGCCTTGCAGAATGAATCATTTTTAGATTGTGACATAAATCTTATAAAAACCCGTCAGCTCTTTCCACCTATGATAAAAGAGGAGACCAAACTTTATCACCCACCTGTTCTTAGCTAGAGGACCCAGTGACCTTGAAAATCTCACCTTTGCCACTCATCTACTTGTGTTCACCTTAGGCAGAGCTGAAGATAAATATGGGTTAATGCCTGCATGATGCCTCTGAATTCAGGAATTACAGGGAAAATCAGAGCTTTGTGCCAGTCTCCAGGATGGCAACTTTGGTTGAACAAATGGGTAGTGGTTTGCATGTCCTCGGGTACACATTCTGTGGATTGATTTAATGGAGTTGTCAGGATGATGATGATCATCATCTTCCTGGGGACATGGTTTCCAAGGCCACTGTGAGAAGAAAGAATTATGTGTATATATGAGAGAGAAAACGTGAAAATGAGTGAGGATGGAGAACCATTTACTCCATGTCCTCCTAGATACTTTAGTTTTAAAAGTCATTTTCCTGTGGACTTTCTGAAAAAGATTTTCAGGTAGCCTCTATATAATCAGAACAATGACATTTGAGTTCAAGAGCAGAGGGTTCAACATGCCCCTGGGGGTCACAGGTAGCAGGTGTCAAAGTCATAATAAAGCCACCTGCTGCTGGGTCAGTGGAGGTGGGTGAGGAACAGTAGATGTCTTTGTTCCTCTTTGCCAAGGTGTTAGCCTCTGAAGGGGGAGTTAGTGGGAGTAGGTGGTGAGAGAACTCCCATTTCCTCTTGTCCGTGTTTCATATTTTAGAGGAAAAAGATTATCTGGCTCTATTAAGAATTCATTAAGAGAGACAGCCCATGTCCCAGTGCCTGGCCTTGCATTGCAGAATTTACAGCCAAGAAGAAAATGTATTTTTGAAAGGGCGACGGCTGGCCTCATCCTTCACAAATTGACACCCCATCTGTTGGTGCCATTTTTTTCCTTCCCGTTCTCCCAACTCTTCTGGAATAGGAGATACGGTTTTTGTTTGGTAATTGCTAAAATCTCCGAGAAAAAAAAAAAGTGTCAACTCCCTTGGTCTACTTTTTTGTTTATTTTTCTTATACAAATACAGTATATGAATCAAAATTTTGTGTATGTCTTTGGGTAAACCAGTATACACCATACCCTCATCACAGCAGTGGTCCACAGACTTCTGGATGCAAAATTATCTTAGAATGCTTGTTTTAAAATGCCAATTTCAGACTCTATGAGGAATTGGGGCTCAGCAATCTGATTTTTAACCCCAAAGGCTTCTGATGCACAGAGTTGTCAACATACAGCACCTTGGACGAGGCCCTCAGTATACTGTGATAGGTGAGCCAAGGCAATAAGATGATATTGCTCTTGATGGGCAAATTTAACTTAGTGGTAAGCTGGTAGCATTTTATATCAAAACTGTAGACTTTAAAGTGCAAGTTCTCAAGACAAAACCATCCAGAAGAACTTTGTGCTTTCTGTGCATATTATGTGATACTGTAGGGCCTATCACTCAGTTTTGTCATAAGATATAAGGATAAGTACTTGTTTGTTGACTTGCTGGCAGTTCTGCAGCTTTGAGATTTTTGTTGAGGTGGAGGGTTTTGAACAAAGTGATAAACTGGGTTTAATAGTGTGCCATAATTAAACCTGTAACGCTATTACTTAGAAGCCATTCCTTGTTACTATAGTATGTATTCATTCCAAGGTACATGTCACAGTTGTATATTAATTTTCATCTTGCCCTCTAGGTACTTTATAGTATTCTCTTGGGCTTCCTTTCCAAGTCTTAAGGGAACTAAGATGTATGCAAAAGTAACTAGTGCAGAGTTAATACTAGCTGATGGCCCTCTGGGAGAGGTGGCAATTAGGAAGGTGATAATGTGCAGTCAATAGGTGAATGGCTATGCTGGACAAGGAGGTATATCTGGGCTTTCAGTCTAGAGTAGACTGTCTTAATAGTAATACCAAAACCAAACAGTATTTTGCTGAAATGAGGCTATAAAGGAACAAGTGATACGATCAGGCTTGTGAATCTTCTGGCATCCAAGAACTGGCTCCTTGTTTCCTCCAATTGTTTAGCCAGGCTTAGAAAATCAGTGATGTAATGAATTTTCTTTGACACTAAGGTCTCTTCAGTCTCAGTGGAAATTAATTTATGCATAGGGTGTAGGAAGTGGAGAACCGGGATCCACCCATCCTTCGTAGTTCTATTGTACACTTAACCATTATTGGCTAACACGCATCTATTATGTGCTCTATATGCAACATCTCTTAATCCTTAGGACAATTCTATGATGTAGGTACCATTTTGGTTTTTTTTTTTTTTTTACTATTTCAAATGAGACAATAAAGGCCCAGAGAAGCTAAATAATTTGAGCCAAGTAGGCTAAGCCCCCTACTACCTCCGCCCCGTGCTATTCTACATGAAAGCAAATTGAGACGTTCTGTGCCCTCTTCCCGCCAGCTCCAGCTAGGAATCGGTCAGAGAGCAGGGAAACACCTGGGGATGTTAAAGTGCTGATCCTGGGTCCACACCTGGGAAATCCGGAGTATTAACAAACACCCTAAGTGATGACAGTACAGAGAAACGCTGAATTGCAGCCCATTAACCATCAGCTACAGTGTTGTTAACCTGTCACCTGCGTGCGCCCGGGCCGGTCCGAGACGCGCGCCACGCCCCCGGGCAGGGGCAGAGCGCGGACAGATGCTGCCCCCCGGCGGCCGCGCCGGCGCAGTGCGGCCCTCCGCGCGGCTGCGCAGTGCCGCCCTCTGGCGGCTCCGCTGCTTCTTCCCATCGGCCTCGGCTTGCGGGCCTTTCAAACATGGAGGAGCGGGAGCGGGGGGCGAGGTCGGCTCGCGCCGGGAGCCCCGCGCGCCCGCCCAGCCCGCGGCTGGACGTCAGCTCTGACAGCTTCGACCCGCTGCTGGCCCTGTACGCGCCCCGCCTGCCTCCCATCCCCTACCCCAACGCCCCCTGCTTCAACAACCTGGCCGAGTACGAGAGCTTCCTCCGCACCGGCGTCCGGGCCGGCGGGCGCGGGCGGGCTCGGGGCGCGGCCGCGGGCTCGGGGGGCCCCGGCGCCGCTGCCGGGCCGGCGGGCAGGACCCGGCGCCGCGCGGACGCCCCCGCCCCAGACCCCGAGCGCATCCAGCGCCTCCGCCGCCTCATGGTGGTCAAAGAGGAAGGGGACGGGGCCGCCGGGGCGCGCCGGCGGGGTCCGGGCCGGAGCAGGAAGCCGCGCAACGTGCTCACGCGAATGCCCCGTGAGTCGGCGGGCCGGGCGGGCCGGCGGGGAGGGCGGGCCGGGCGCCCGGAAGCCGGCGGCCGAGGGGGCGTTCGCCGGTGGCGGCGGGTTGGCGCGGGTCTGCTCGTATTGGGAGGGTCTCGGCGGAGATCTGCTCGAGTGATGCGGGTGACGAGGGCGCGGGGAGGGTCGCAGAGAGTAAGGACGGGGAGCAATAGGGGAGAGTGGTGAGGCTGCGTTGGTGATAAGGTGCCGTGGGGTAACTAATGGGGGCCATGGCACTGTCTGCAGAGGTGGAGAACCTGCAGAGAGGGTCTGCGGAAGTGATGGCGATCTGGAGAAGTGGAGGGGCTCGGAGACGCTTACAGAGTTTGGGGGACATAGGGAGTTCTGCAGAGGTGGTGAGAGGTCTCGGGGACCACAGATGGAGGTAAAGGGGGGCGAGGGCATACAGGAGTTGTTGGGGAGAACACAGCCAATGTTAGGGAAAGGACAGTGGGATTTGAGCATGATCTGATGGAGCTAGGTGGATCTGTTCACATAGGGACATAATGTCATCACCCCTGCACATTAAGTGACAGCTCCTTCTCGCGTGCAATAAGCAGGAGAAGGGCTGCAAGGAAGTCTTTATACACATATGTTCACATTACTAAATCATAGGTGCTGGAATGTAGCAGGCACAAAATGCCACTAAAACACAGACGCTACAGCCGCTCTGCCTGGCTGGGTGCAGGACTGTGTCTGTCAGGCTCGTATCACCATATGCACAGGTTATTTTAAGTTCTGAAGGTGTAAATGGCACAAGGGAATTTCTTGGAGCCTCCTAATAGATCCTTAGAGTAAAGCTGTAAACAGCAGAGGTGCTGATGTGTGAGTTAGGTCTTGTATAAATGGAATAAAAGCAGCCCAGGGTTATATCTTTTGTCATCTGGCAACCAGGTCTGACATCTGCCCTGTGAACACAATGACCTACTTAGCCATTCAGAGCATCTGTATCCTGATAATTAAATTGCTATGTTTTTGAAATCACTGCTTGGAATGGAGGGGCATGCTAAGCAAGGGACTATTTTGCTGTATTCCTAAAAAATTGTTTATTAAGAGAGAAACATCCTGAAAAGCTGTGTGCCGTCATGGGTGCCTTTGTTGGATGATTTGCCTTGCCATGGCATCCCTGCCCAAGCTAGGATTTACCTAGCTTGCTTGCCCAGCAGTAACACAAAGACAGGATGCATATTCCTAAAATGAGAGCAGTTTGGGGGATCTTATTTGGTCTGCACATTTTGCCACTGTTGGGTCTTTGAAATGCAGTACGAGTCTCAGATTATAACATTTATTTCTATCGTACCAGTTACTGCTTTGCTACCGAGACTGTCAAGGGAAAGAAATATTCCTATGTGGTGGGTGGTTTTAGCTTTACTATGGAACACTTTACTGTATTAGTATGATAGAGTGCGTGGAGACCAGCTTTGTCAACTGCTTATGATTAAATATTCACCCGGAACCACGATCTTAGAGGATGTGCACCACGCACTGAAAATTTTAATCACGACACTGGAAATAGTTGGGTGTACGTGATAGAGATGGGTTGACATCACAAAGAGTTGGTGACCTTCAGAAGGCAAGAAAACACCAGAAACATGGGTGAGGATTAGATTTATTCAAGAAAGAGTTCCTGTGAGAGATACGTTTTAGGTTTTTGAAGTTAAGGAAGGGCATGGTTGAAGATAATAACTTTTAAAATGAAGCTATTAAGGGGTAATTTATATACAGCAAAATCCACCCTTTTTAAGTGAGTTTTGAGAAATGTATAGAGTCTGCCTAGATTTGAACACTGGCTCCTCCATCTTCTAATCGTTTTGCTTTAGGCAAGTTACTTAAACTCCTTTGGGCCTCAGTTTCTTCATCTATAGAATGAGGTTAATAATAGTATGTTCCTGTCATTGTGAGGATAAAATTGGTTAACGTATGTAAATCATTCATAACAGTATTCCCTAGCATATAAGAAAGTTTTCCATGACTGGTAAATGTCACTGTTGTGGGTTGTTGGTTATAGACTATCAAAATTAAAATCCCTAGGTCAGAATGCATATGACCTGCCTGTATTGAGTGTTTACTAGATAAATGCCCTTGAGCAAATTACTTACAGCTTTCTGAGCCTCAGCTTTCTCCAAGGTGAAAGAATAGTACCTATTTATTAGGGTTGTTAGGCGAATAAAATAAAATATGTAAAGTTACTACAAGGCCTGGCTCATACAAAAGGCCCAATAATGGGTGCTAACGATAATGATGATGTTGTGGATATGAGTGAGGAGAGCTAGAAAACCGAGTAAACCTGATAAAATAAATCTGATAAGGCTCTACACTAGATTGTGTTGTGGAGAGAAAAAGGAAAGGGCAGGTTTTAGTAATCAAGAATCTATTGTCTGTACCTGGATGTCTAGATTTCTGGAAAAAGAAAGAAAAAAATGTAGAAAAAATATTTAATTAAAAAAAAAAAGAATCTATTGTCTATAAACTTAGTGATGGCCACAGCAGGGAGAAGGAAGAGTGGAGCTGTCTTTGGAAGGGTGTGGCCCCAAGAATAATGGCAGCAGAGAAGGGGATTTGGAAGAGTAACTTTCTTCAAAGAGAAGGCATAAGTTATTCTTCTCATATTACATTTTAGAAGCCCCGCTCATATCTATTTAGAGTTTGTCACAGAGGTGGCTAGAAAGCGAATGTGCATTCTGATTCAGTATGGGGAGCTCATTTTTGCCTTGGCAGTTTGCCCTGGTAGGTGGTGCTAGTGTTGTATTTTTGATCATGTAGGAGAGAAATGCTGCCTGGAATTATACCTTAATAAATCTTTGGAAGAAACAAATCAAGAGAAAGGTACAGATGTGAGAGTTGAAAGACCCAAGTTTGCCAATTATTTAATTAGAAGAAGGGATTATTAAGATGCATGCTTGCCCCTTCTCTCTGATTTGGGGGTGCAGAGGAAGAAGTAATGCCCTTGCTTTTTCTCAATTAGAATGGTCTTTCCATTCTTTGTGTGAATACATATGTTTGGGGGACAGGAGGCAGTGTGTATGTGTGGGCAAAGGGAATAATCCAGGCTTTGTGATCAGTTTCTAAGAAAATGAATTATAGAGACTTATTCCTGAATTATTTTTTATTTTTTTTATTCTATTTATTTTTTTATATGCAGGGTCTCGCTCTCACCCAGGCTAGAGTGCAGTGGAGTCATCATAGCTCACTGTAACCTCAAACTCCTAGGTTCAAGCTATCCTCCTGCCAAAGCCTCCTGAGTAGCTGGGACTACAGGCATATACCATCATACCCGGCTAATTTTTCTATTTTTTGTAGAGATGGGGGTCTCACTTTTGCTCAGGCTCAGAACTCCTGAGCTCAAGCAATCCTTCTGCCTCAGCCTCCCAAAGTGCTAGCATTACAGGTGTGAGCCACTTTGTCCAGCCTTATTCCTGAAATTAATCTACAATTTAATCTACCCTCATTTTATGAATGAAGAAACTTAAACTTGTAAAGAAAAAGTTACTCACCAAGGTCACACAACTAGTTATAATGACCTGAAAAGTTGTTTACAGTGCTGGATTTAATACAGCCTATAACAGCACATTTACAGATATATGTGTGCCTATATACACACACCCTTGTATATCAGAGATTCAAAGGACTTTACAATATTGCTAGAAGAGGGAAATAATGAAGGTCAGACCAAGGTTCTCATGTTCCTTTCCAGGGCCATTGTTTCTGCCACCCTGCCTCCAATTGTGCCTTATTGCTGAATCTTCAATCTGACGTGAACTACTTCTCATCTGCTAAATCGTTTTCTTCCAAGAGTATTTTCCTTTATTAATTGATCACAGCCATCATTTATAAGCCAGCCCATGAATGACAGATAAGGTGGCCAAGAGGAACCATCTTAGTTATACAAACTGACGGGCAGGACTGTTCTCTCTTATGCCACTAGAAACAAAGCAGAGAAAGATTTTTTTATTAGTTTACTGTCAGTGGCAAATGTTCTCTATAGAATTTTGCCATGCAATCATGGGAAAGATAGGCTGTGTATGCGTGAGAGTTTGTGTGTATGTGTAGTTTTCTTTTGGGAGGTTTTATCTTCTACAGCTAGCATAGTATGAGATCTAAGTTAACATGAGATAAGAAAAATAAAATTCCCCTCTGCTCCCAAGCTCTGTGGAGAGAATCCCTTGTAATAAAAGCTTATAGTCCCAGTATTCTTCCTGTGACTCATTAATACTGCTCTTTTCACATGATGTTTATTAGCAATCTCATAGGAGTCAGATGCTCAGTTGTTTACACCATCAAGGCTTGGAATACAACCACTACTTTTCCTGCTAGTGTCAAGATGATGCACGTTGGCACTAGTGACTCCAGAGAGCCTGTGCATGGAGTACTCAGATTGGTGGGGGCCCAAGGACATTCTCTCTGAGAGGATGGCACTTGTTAAGGGCACGTGTGTTACACCGTTAGTTTCCTTCAAACATGAACAAGGTTTTTGGTTCTTGGGAAGGCTTAAATTGGATATGTGATTCATGAGTTGTCTTAAGGAACAGAATTGAGAAGCATCTGGCTGCTGGATGTGTATATTTAATATGGTATTTTTTTGCCCCCAAAAGTTTTAAAATCACGGGGCATCTTAGAATCAGTGACATCATAAAATAAAAGGTATATAGATAGTAAAACATTTGGATGATATCCACACATAGGGTGTATCCACATTCTGTTGAAATCCAGTCTCATTCCAGCGTGTTGACTGTACTCACCATGTTGTCCATTGCCTTCCTGTTTCGATAGTGAGGTTGTCACCACGGCATGTTGCCTTGTATTGCTGGATGTGATTGGGTGGTCTGGGCTGTTAATTCTGGCAGTGGGGGCAGATGTCCATGCAGTACTGATTGTTCTCTTGTTTCAGTGCATGAAGGCAGCCCTCTGGGTGAACTCCATCGCTGCATCCGGGAGGGGGTGAAGGTGAATGTTCACATCCGCACTTTCAAGGGACTTCGGGGCGTCTGTACAGGCTTCCTCGTTGCATTTGACAAGTTCTGGAATATGGTAAGTAAGCCTTTCTCAAGGGGCCGTAAAACCTTCTAGAGATTAAATCTTGTATATATTTAAGGGATCTGAGTAACCTTATTAAGCAAAACCTACAGAATAACTTCTCAGAAGAATAGAATCTTTGCATACTCTTGTCATGGGCAACAACAAAAAAAGGTCTTTTTATAGCTTTCTTTCCCTTAAGGCAGTGGCCCTCAACGGTGGCAATTTTGCTCTTTCTTTCCTTCCAGGGACATTTGGCAATGTCTGGGGACATTTTTATGATTGTCACCACTGTGGGAGGGGATGCTACTGGCATTTAGTGGGTAGAAACCAGGCATGCTGCTAAACATCCTATAATATACAAGACAATCCCCCAACAACAAAGAATTATCCAGCCCAAAATGTTGTTAGTGTCAAGGGTGAGAAACCCAGCCTTAAGGAATAAATATTTAATCTATTTCATAATTTTAAATTGATTTTCTACCATCCATTCTTTCATTCATTTATTTATTCACTTCCCACTTTGGCTGAATTAAGTGCTAGGTAGAGAAGTTTCAGAAGAAACTTTCACTCTGAAGTGTTTGGGAAGATAGATGAGGATAGAGGTGAAGTAGACATTGATAAGCAAAGCACTTTGCATGATTCTTTATGAAGGAGTGTCCCATACCCCCTCAGCCTTCTAGAGGCTTACTGTCTCTTTTCTAGACAGTCATAGGAGGGAAGGGGTATGTTACAGCACAGCTGTAATATGAGGTAGTTAAAAACCACCAGGGCTTTCTAGTGTTGCTTTTCTATGTGGTCTTTCATCTCCAACTTTCGTTTTCCATTGCTCTATCCCGTCTGCTCATTCTTCTGGATAATAACAATAGTTGCCAACGTTATTGAGCACCCTGGATGTGCCAGATACCGTACTAGGTGCTTTATATATTATCTCAATGGACGAGTGTAGGTGTTATTACTGTTCCATTTCACAAATGAAGAAATTTGAGTCTAGAGAGATTGGAAGACTGGTCCCAGATCACACTGTTAGTAAGTGGAGGTGTCGACTTTATCCTGGATGTTTGTGACTCTATTAATATGCTTTCAGCCATTCTGGAATTTGAATCCTAGCTTCAAATCCTGTTAATTCCTGTCATAAGACATAGAAACAGTTAATTCCTGTCATAAGACATAGAAACCAAGGCGGGCAAAGCAGCAGCAGCAGAGTGGTGTTTCTCAAAGTGTCGTCTGACACCATCCTGTGTCACGATCACCTGGGGCTTCAAGTGAAAACAAGAGGTCCTGGGCTTCATCCCAGATCTACTGCACCAGAATCCATAGGACAACAGCCTTGGATTTATATTTTCATAAACTTCCTAGATATTTATGCACACTGAAATTTAAGGACTTGTACCATGCAGTCACAAAAGGCCTTACCATCCATAACAGAAACCCACCTTATATGGTACTAACAGCTTGAAAATCCTATAGAGAAGGCATCACCATTTTCTTCTGCCCAATAGCTGAGTCACCCAAGTTGAGTTCTGCTTTGATTAAATGTTAGTCTGCCTTTTTTTTCCCCCCTGAAAAAGCTATAAAAATAATACTTTTCATCTTTTCTTTTCCCCCTTTGGGCTATTCCTCTAGGCACTTACTGATGTGGACGAGACATACCGAAAACCTGTTCTAGGCAAAGCGTATGAACGGGATTCTTCATTGACTCTCACTAGGGTAGGAGTTTCCCCTGACCTACTGAGTACCCATCATATTTTCCAGCTTAGGAATTAAGATCCCTGAGCCCAGTGACCAGGATTTCCTAAAGGGAAATCCCTATTCCTATAACCAGGTATTGCCTGTACCAAGGTCTTCAGTCAGTCTCTCTTCTTATGCTTCCAGCCAATCGCAAATGAGTCTGCTTCTAACCTGCATTTTATTTGAGTAGCAAGTTACCTCTTTTTTTTTTTTTTTCTTTTTTTTTGAGACAGGGTCTCACTCTGTCATCCTGGGTAGAATGCAGTGGTGTCATCGTAGCTCACTGCAATCTCAAACGCCTGGGCTCAAGTGATCCTCCTGCCTCAGCCTCCGGAGTAGCTGGGACTACAGGCGCATGCCACCATGCCTGGCACATTTTTCTATTTTTAGTAGAGACAGGATCTTGTTCTCACTCAGGCTGGTCTCAAATCCTGAGCTCAGGCCATCTTCCTGCCTCAGCCTTCCAGAGTGCCAGGATTACAGGCGTGAGCCACCGCACCTGGCCATCTCTTACAAGACTTAAAAGTCTTTCTGCTTTATACCACAGAAATAAGCTAGATGCCTTTTCTCTTGACATTTTTTTTTCTCTCTCTCTTTCTTTCTTTTTTTGAGGCAGAGTCTCCCTCTGTTGCCCGGGCTAAAGTGCCATGGCATCAGCCTAGCTCACAGCAACCTCAAACTCCTGGGCTCAGGCAATCCTCCTGCCTTAGCCTCCCGAGGAGCTGGGACTACAGGCATGCACCACCATGCCTGGCTAATTTTTTCTATATATTTTATTTGGCCAATTAATTTTCTTTCTATTTTTAGTATAGACAGGGTCTCGCTCTTGCTCAGGGTGGTTTCAAACTCCTGACCTTGAGCAATCCACCCACCCCGGCCTCCCAGAGTGCTAGGATTACAGGCATGAGCCACTGCGCCCAGCCTTGACATATTTTTTTATTTATCTGCATTATGGCTATAAAATTCATTACTAACTTTCAAAAAATGGTAAAGCAAGGAGTCCACAAAGCATAATGTAGGAATCTGGTCCTTTTCTGTATTTTGAAACAGGGATGTTGAAGGCTAAAGAGAAGACTAATATTTGTCCTTGTTTTCCTTATAGCTATTCGATCGGCTGAAACTTCAGGATTCCTCCAAGAAGGAAGCAGATTCTAAGTCTGCAGTTGAAGACTCCACTCTGTCCAGATACTCCCAGACATCCACTTGGAAGGTGGCTTCCGTGTGGGGAAGAGAAGACACCGACCGGGGCTCACGCAAGCGTTCCCGCTCTGTCCCTTCTTCCCTGCAGGCCTCTGCACGGGAGGAGTCCAGGTCAGAGCTGTCAGGGAGGACTACACGGACAGAAGGGTCCAGTGTGGGAGGTACCATATCCAGGGCTACCACCCTTTCCAGGGGCCAGACCCGTAAGAAAAAACGCAAGCCCAAAGTGGATTACCAGCAGGTATTCACTCGACACATAAATCAGATTTTCATTCGAGGTGAGAATGTCCTGCTGGTTCATCTTGCACAGTGACCAGCTCAGCCTCACTGGAGCTTTGGGTTTTAGAGGTAAAGTGCATGAATTGCTGCTATGCTGTATCCTAGTGTCCCAGTGAAACTCTGATTTGGAATGATTCCCCCTGGCCCTGCATGTGCAGAGGACGGAGCAGGCTCAGCCCTCTGGAAGATGAACTCAAGGGGAGGACAGGTGTTGGGAGAGTGAGTGTCTGTATTAATATTTATTATCTGTGAATATCTGCACAGTCTAGGAAAGGTTCCAACTTATGCAGCAGTGAAATTTGGATAGGTGGGATCCTCAAAGCAGCCAGCAACGAATGCTCTGTTTTGATTCCTCTCCTTATTAGGGAAAGCAATTCAGAACCTCTTCAGTCTTCCCCTTATCAGAGGTACCCTCTGCAAATGGCATGCCAGATGGGATTATAAGATGCTTGTACGGTGGCTTCTTGTCCTTCTCTCTAACTTCTGTGGCATGGTGCTAGCGCATGTACCCTGTGGTATTGCCCCTCTGTCCGTAGTGTGAACTGTCCTGTGAGCATTATGGCAAGAGACTTTGACTTTCGTGTCTGGCTTCCAAGAGTTCTGCATGAACTCAGTAATACACACAGCACGTGGCTGAAAGTCCCCTTCCTAGGCGGGGCCAGCCTTGTGTAGGATTTCTTCCAGAATGGTTTTACCATGAAATGGGTTGTAGTTTTATTCCCTTTTGTCAGGCCAAAGAAGTCCTTACAAAGTACAGTGGGGACGTGTCTAAAGGGACACTCGTCACAGCCTGGCTCGAGTAACAGGAACACCGTAGTTCCCACGGATGCTTCTCTACTTGAATCATATTCTGTGCTTTTTTTAATCACCAGTGCAGAATAGTCTTGACACAGACTGTTAGGCAATATTGATTTTTTTGTTTTGTTTTTATTTGGTTTTATCTAAGATAACTTATGTTCAACATGAGAATAAGAAATAGGTAACTAGTTAAAATGTATGCAAAGAAAATTTTCCCCTGCTGTATTTGTTGTGTAATTTAAGCCTTCTGAGAAGCGGAGTGAATAAAGTTTAGGGAGCTGGGCCGCCCGGCCCTGCTGCTGGCTTGCCCACTGGCTCGTCCTGCCGTGGAAAGTGAGCAGACTTCACCCCTCTGTGCCTCAGCTTTTCCCCATCAGACACCTACCTCACAGGGGCATTGAGTCAAAGAATTTTAGGAAGGCATTTTACAGTCTAAGCATGTTTAAGTGCCATGAGTAATTTTTACTAACTCTCTTTCGTAGCTTTGTAAGAATTCTGTGTCTTATGAGCAAGGCAGGTGCTACATAAGAAAGTAATCGTCACAGGTGTCATAATTATGATCTTGTAACTATCATCAGAAGGCAGTAGTATCTTCAGGAACTGTTTTCTGTATTCCATTCCTTCCCCCTAAGGGGCACTGGAGGTTCTCAGCAGAGTATCTTCAGTAAAAGGAAAGTTGTCATTTTTTGCTTCTCCCTCCAAATCCCAGCCCCACCCTTTTCCAGTCATTATCAGCAAGAATCCCCTAAACTTTTCAAGGGGTTTATATGATAGTACTAAATAGAGTGAGCATCTAAAAATGGCCAACCATCCCCAAAGGGGAAATTGTGGAATTTGTTTTTTTAATTTTTGTTTACTTGTTTTCATTTTTAAATGCATTTTAAAGTATACTCTAGAGTCAGATCAGATGCACTAAAGTTTATAGTGGTTCCATGTTACAAACGCAAATGAACAATTATCTTTGGCATCTTCCAGTCTAAGTTATTTTCTAAGTAGTGTGTTGGAAATCTGAGTTCCCAAATTAATAGTGTCCTGTGTTTAGTCATCAGGCCATGTTGCCTATATGTCTTTACCAGTCTCCCTGTGTGGCTGTCCTCATCTGTCCTCCTGTCTCTCAGTTAGAAGCTGTAATGGATACTATATTTTCCCAATAATGTAGAAATTTGAAATCAAAAGGAATATAATCAGTTTCCATTCATTCCAGCGACAATTCTGGCTATGAAAATTATTTCTAAACTGCGTATGATCTATTTTATGTACAATCTGCCCCTATTTATTTGTTTGGTTTGGACAGTGATTCTGGAATGAATACTATCTAGTAGATGTGCTGTAGTGTACAAAGCATGATCGTTATTACTGCCTTTTATTGTTGGAGAAAATTTTTTAAGGAAAAAAAGATAGTTTCAATAATGTATGTGCTATTCAAAAAATGTGATTATTTAGGACATTATTGTAAGTTGCTATGGAAATAACTGAAGTCTTCCTCAGGAGAAGGAAGGCAAAGGGGGAAGTAATGGGAGAGTCCCAGCAGCCCCCACCAACTCATCAGAAAGGCGCCCTATGCAACAAGACTAGTTTCTGGTATTCTCCAGGGATTTGTGCTTAGGAAACTTAACAAGAATAGTACTTATTTTTGAACATCCACCTTTTGTTCTTCAAAGAAATCTCTAGGCAGGGGAATATGTTATCACGACAATTCACAGAACATACCTATGCATTTGAAGTCAATACCTACCTTTGTTAGATGATAAAAAAGTGATTAAGAAATGGAAGAAATGGTTTTACATCCAGAACAATTTCATGTGTCATTTTTTGTACATAGGGGTGATTCTTTTCTCTACCATTAGTAGAACTTGCACTTTAGGTAGTTCTGATATTCGGGAAGTATTTGTGCTTCCTTTCAGGGACCATCTTACGACCAGAGGCAGGCTGTCTGTGAGATGGTTAGCCAGAGTTAACGTCTGAGACAGGTTTGGCTTTAGACCAGTCAGTACCTTGCTCTTTGTGCATGGTGCATGTCAAGTCAGAAAACCTAGAAAACGTAGCATTAAAATCTAGGTGCATAGAAATGCTTGTTATGAGCTGTTAGTGGATCAAGTGCAGCTCCATCTCTCCTTGTAGTGAACAAGCCCAGGAGCATGTTTAGAGATTGCCAGGTGATGAGAGCTATGAGCTGTCCTTAATTTCAGAAGCCTTACAGAAATCTAGGTGTACCACTTCTACCCCTTGAGAAAAAAGAAATAGAAACCCTAACTTGATGCAGAATGGATATTTATAGTTCTGTTTGCACTATTTTCATGGCAGCTGACATGGGCAAATTATGAAAGAGTCAGTTCTATAAATTGCTTCTTTAAATTTTCTCTAAAATTTTGCCTTTAGGAAAAAATTAAAATTATTCAATGACAGCTAGCTGTCACTGGTGCTGCCCCATAGCTTTCCAATCTTTAATGTATTTTTTATGAATGAAGTGGTTGCTGTAGGAAGGTCGGTCATCACGTAAGAGAAGAGTATCATGGTATAAATATAATGCTTTCACAGTTGTTTTAATTTTTCTTTTCCTGTGCCAGATATAGAATGCAGTCGACCCCTTTTCAGTAATTTATGTTCACCAGTCTGTTTTTCTTCTCCCAGAAGGCTTTTCTTAGGGGTTGTAAAGCAAGAAAGTCTTACCTGGGTTTGTGTTGCAAAGGTGGGCAGCCTCATTACTTTCTGGCAAATGGAGTTGATGGATTTAAGATAAGCCTTTGGGGTTCCTTTCAGTTTTCTGGGCTCTGAGGAAGGGTTGGGCCTCCTTTACTCTCAGTGTTTTGAGTATTTTTCAAATGTTTGTAAGTTCTCTTGCACTCTAATAAAAATGAAAGCTCTCTGTCAAGAAATGGCTTTGGATGGTTTGAAGATCTAGGGGAAGAAAAATAAGTACACCTGAGACCTTCAGTTGGTCTTTTATTTATTTAGAATAAAAAGTAGTTTGATAAGCTACCAGAGTTAGTGCTTCTTTCAAAACACTCTCTGAAAAGATAGCAACTATCCCTTAGGAAAGCTATAAAAGCTATTCCCAGTGCGTTGCAATTGCTTTTGATTTGTAGTCCTTTGGAGCAAATGTCTGATGTTATGTCTGATGTTATGTTTTTAGAGCTGTGAAAAAAAATGTCTGAAAAATTTTGAGGGGTATTTTTAAATGATGATTAGCTGGCTGAATTATGTGTGAACTAGGTTCTAGGGCAGCTGTCCACGTTTTTCCTATTGTCCTGACAGTAAAGCTGATAGGAAGCCATGTCTTGAAAACTGATTTGCCTATTTCATACTGACATCTAAAGACGTCAGCCTTCTGTTTGGCAACCCTGGGGCTACTCCTCTGCACCGTAACTTACTAATGTATTTTGAGACAAGGCTAAACCTGGATCACTCTATGTATCTATAGTTTCATTACTCATATATCAGCTGCTAAAAGAAAAACCGTGACTTGTAATCTCGTCTCTAAACTACTCCTAATTGTTAACTGAAACCCTTCCTGTTTATGGAAGATTGCTGCTAGTAGCGTCAGTTTGCAGTGTTTTGCTGTAGATATGTGTCATACGGGAGTCTGAAAACTGGAATAAATATGATTGTATTCATGTACGTACTGACTGCTTTGCCTCTGATTTTGGGGGGTGGCAGGGAGGAGGCACCATTACCAAGTGAAGACACTGATCTAGAAAATTTAAACATTTCAAGCCTTCTGCAAGCTCATTATTGTAACCTTGGGCTTTTTCTTTACCAGAGTGCACACATCTAGGTCACCATCCTTGAGGTAGATTTTTTTCTTCCAAGTTTATTTGAAGTTCCTGCTTAGAAAAGGAACTTGGTCCATCTTATGAATTATCTCTTCTAAGCCACAAGCCATTGTCATTGCCCTGTGAATTTTTATTTTTATTTATTTTTTATTGTTTTAGAGATAGAGTCTCACCCTGTCACCCAGACCGGATGATAGCTCACTGTAATCTCAAACTCCTGTTACTTTGTATGTTTATTCTCCCTAATAGCTGGTTGGCATTAGTCCACTCTCTTCACAATCTGTTGAATCACCATTGATTCTGCTCCCCTCTGAGTCTTTTACTGCATTTGGCAAAGTGATCCTCCCATGCGTCCACAAATATGTGAATTTGCCACCAGCTTTCCTCTAGGCATGCACAAGAAGTGGAGTTGCCTAAGGATTTGCCACATTGATGATTTGATCTCTTCTGTGCGCTTCCAGAACTGAGTCACCCGGTAAGGTAGGCAAATAAAAATCACATTGATTCCTAGAGGCGGAGACCTCAAGTTAACCCAGTTCCCCCACTTTAAAGGATACATTAAGTTGAGCTCACCTGACATATGTGACATTTCTAACCATCACAGTGGAGGAGGAAGAAGGACCCACATGCTCTAGGTCTGGTCTTTGCTTGTTTTCTATCTCCGAGACTTCTGATGAAATGAGAATGCCCTCATTAATCAAAATAAAGGCTGAAGAGTCAGCTAGCTTGACATTTTAAATGTACAGTGACAGATATTGGCAGGGGAGTGGAGGACAGTGGAATAAGACACGCTGTCTGGCCGGGCGTGGTGGCTCATGCCTGTAATCCTAGCACTCTGGGAGGCCCAGGCCGGTGGATCGCTCAAGGTCAGGAGTTCGAAACCATCCTGAGCAAGAGCGAGACCCCCATCTCTACTAAAAATAGAAAGAAATTAATTGGCCAACTAAAAATATATAGAAAAAATTAGTCGGGCATGGTTGGTGCATGCCTGTAGTCCCAGCTACTCGGGAGGCTGAGGCAAGAGGATCGCTTGAGCCCAGGAGATTGAGGTTGCTGTGAGCCAGGCTGACGCCACGGCACTCTAGCCAGGGCAACAGAGTGAGACTCTGTCTCAAAAAATAAAATAAATTTTAAAAAAGATGTCTATATCCCTCTTTTCCTATTTCCCGTGCTTCCTGGATAGGAGTGACAAGGAGTTCTCTCCTTCAGTCTGCTCAGTGACCACTAGGTGGCAGTGGGTTAAAGAAAACTGCCTAATGAGAGGTCCCAGAAGGACCTGAGGCTCCAGGTCTCCAGTTACTGCTACAATTTATCCTTAAATGCTCGCCAGTCTGGGCTGAGTTAATCAAGTAAAAACAAGCTGTAATCAGCCTAAACGGCAATAGACACGCTTCTTTTTTCAATACTGAATTTACCTAGTTTGAAGCCCAGGAAGGCTGACCGGTGGCATTCAGGTAGGGAATGTGCTGGGGAGGGTGCAGAAGAGAGAGATTTCCCAGTGTCTGCTGTTTAAGGGAGTCTGTCTCCATTCTCACATCATGGGGCTCCCCGTTTCTTCTCAGAATGCTGTTAACTCCGTCCAGCCTCTTCCCACCTGCTGGCGAGGGGTCGCCCCAAGAAAACCATCTTGAAGCCCTTGTTTCTCAGCAACTTCAAAACAGTTCAGTTCCCCCCAGCGTTGATGCCCGAAAGCCCATTTGGGAGAAGGGTTGCAGCTGTCTTAGGACTCTATGACCACAGTGGAGCCTCCACTCCAAGACTGTTTAAGTGAATATGCTCGAGAGTGAGGGGAAGGTTTGTAACAGACAAGCCTGTTGTCTCAGGCTGGGACGCTGGGGACAGAAGGGGTGGGGTGGGCAGAGCTAGCCAGTCTCCTTGCGCGTCATGTCAAGGCCTTCCGAAGTCCTTCCCTCCCCAGCTCAAGCATAATTCTCCAGCAGTCTATGGTGAAGAGGAATACCATATGTGAAATAATAACTGACCACTAGTCTCGAAATGAATAACTGAAAATAAAGTTGTAATAGAAAGCTTTATCTCACGTCTTTTTGGTCCTTGGCAACTTATACCACATTTCACTCAATCAGGCCTTGTGAAGGGGCAGAGGATAGATCATGCAATAAGAAATACTGCCATTCTGAACATTTCAGCCCTAAGCTAAGAATATTACTTGAATTACTGTGTTCAGATACTACTATGAGAGGAAGATTTTTATCCCTGCTATATATATAAGGGAGAACGACAGCTCAAAGAGGTTAAGTAATTTGCCAACATCTCTCTTCTAATCCAGGGTGGATTCAGAATTCTATCTGGCTCTCCCTTGACTCTTACATTTATTGCTAGCTGACTGCGCCTTAAAAATATTAAATTTCTCAGGCATTAACCAGGAAATCTTGAGGGTAAAGCTGAGCTGTCTGTCCCCTTAAACTCATCAGAAATCAGAGGGCCGAATTAAGATGCGGCTTGGTGGTTTGCTTCAAGTGTCTAATCTCTTCTGACTCACACTGTCCTTTGGCTGGGTGGGAGTGGACACATGCACACAGGGCTTGGTGGCTTGTAGAGAGAACCAGGGAGGTGGGTACCCCCAGGGGCAGCAGGCCAGCTGCGGCTCTGGGAAAAGTAGCTGCCACGTGAATGCTAGGAGGTATTTTGCCCACTAGTTAGTCTGGCCCTGGAAGGGGATATTGATCCATTAGCCTCATTAGAAAGAAGATGGGGTAACTAGTGGTCATTCCAGCTCTCCAGTATGCATTGAGAAAAGTCACCATCCCTTTCTTTCCAGTATTGCCCGGTGCTTGGGAAGGAAGCTTTCTCTTGGCCTTATCTACACATTCAACTAATTAAAGAAACTCCTCTCAAGGCTAAACTATGGAGGTGCCAAAGCTACAGAAAATGAAGATCACTTGAAGGCCTGTAGTCTCTCTCCTGAGATCTAAAAACAGGCACATGCCAAAAGGTTAGGCAAGCTGTCCATCGTATAAAATTGCCCTTTAACTTGATGTGTTAATTTCCAGAATATGGCAATCCTGGGAGGATCCTTGGTTCTTTTTACTACTTACATCTGAGCCTTGGCTTTCTGATCTCTAAAATAGGCATGATACCACCTGCCTCCTAGTTTTGTTGATGGAAAGTGCTTGGCCCACACAGCAAGCCAAGTCAATGTCATTTACGCTTGGTGAACTTGCTGTGCATCGCCAGCGGCTTTCTTAACGTCCCTGGGCTTCCAGTCTGTGTCCTGAGACTGGACCTGGCAAACAAATGGACGGAGCGGAATGTTGTTTTCCTCCTTTTTTTTTTCCCCAGCACACAGGTGTTTGAAAGATTGTTCCTAGGCTTCCTGAGTTCTCCAGGCGTCCTCAGTTGGCTCTCCATGGGTTAAAACTTCCGAATGTCATCAAGTTCTCCACTGCTGGGAGAGCTGTGTGCTCCCCCAGGAACAACATTAGGCTCCACGGGACATTCATTAGTTGGGGTTATGAGGGGGCCACGGGGCACTGGAATGGTAATTTCCTACATGGGACCCCAGTGACCCAGCGCGAGCTAGCTCAGCTGGTCTGAGCATGTGGCTAATGAGGGAAGGGTCACGGTTTCTCTCCTGTGTGGGCCAATTAGTGTCACGTGGAAGATGCGCTCCTGGGGTGTCAGGCGGCAGCTTACACGTGTGTGGCACTGGTCACCAGGGTGGCTGCGTAGCTATCGTCAGAAACCCAACCCTACATCTTCTTTCCTATTATCCCACAGCTTATTGTTTCCAAAACTTGGGTCATTTACACAGGACCGTCACGATTTTTGCCCAAGAAGACCAGTGCATTTTTATGTGTTCAATATCATTCTATAAATTGACTCACTTTTAAATTTACACTTAAAAGGAAGCTGTGTATCACTACCATCAATGGAAAATCGGTAAATTTGCCCTGAATAGAAAGTCCACATTAAAATAAATATATATGGCTGTTGAAATGAAAGTGTTTTGTCTTCGTGTCATCTGCAAACAGATCCTATGCCACAGCGATCAATGTACTTACTGTGTTAATAAACGTTGCATGTATAGAATCTGCATGTGCTCTAAAACATGCATGCAGTTTGGTAATAAAATAGTACCATCGGCAAAAACAGTATCATAAAACACCTGCTTTAGTGGGAAGAGTTGGGATCCGTGACTGGGGAGATTCACACTTGATGAAATTATTATTCTTGCAGGAATTTCAACACCAAGGGCCTTTCTAATAGCCTTAAATATGTGGCAATAAAACCTAAACTCTGAACAAATCTAGAGTTTAATTTACATCTAGCTTTTGCTCAACAGCCATGGCTTTTGTTCACACTCTCCACTGGCACTATCATTAACAAGGTGCTTCTTACCATCATTATCGCCGGTTTTATGATAAACAAAGCACAAACATGCAAAGCAGCTGTGTTCGCGCCGCACAACAACTTCCTTCCCCTCCAGTCATGAGCCAGTGCCCGCCGGCCAGTTCCTTACGGAGATCAAGATAGAACCAATAGCGCTGTTGGTAATAAAAATGTATTATCTGATTACTAGAACTTGTTACATCCAACCCAGTTTCGAAAATGTGCATGGGAGGACAGATACACGTGAAAACACACACCACACTCGGGCCTCCTCGAGATTGACAGAGAGCCTAGCCACTTCCATTATTTTAGGTTTCCAATACAGTAAAAAAAAAAAAAAAAATGCAATGCCAAAGCAGAGTTGTAAAAGTGCTGGTGTATTTTTAAAATCTAAGTTGAACGATGGACGGCTCCCAATCCTCTCTGTGTGCCTGTGATTGGGTGTGCAGCCTCATTTGAGGGCGAGCCGCAGCGGGTGTATACGAGATCTCTG